ACCCTACAGCATGCTTTCATGAAGAAAATACCAACCTGCACAGAGCAGTGAAAGCCTTGAGGTGTGAATCGGCTTGAGAAATGACAAATTCAAGACAAAAATCTGTATGAGAGATGTGTGTAAGTGACACTCTCCATCTTGTTGCATTCTCTTGTTACACTTTGGTCATCTTGCATTGTTATTCTAATGCAATGTGTAGAAGCTGTTGGTGTCCAGCTATAGTCCATTAGGAGACTATGTGATTTCCCCAAAGTAGTTTAATCACAGTTTAGTATGAGCCAAACTGTATATATATGAACATGAATAAGAACTACTGTGGTTTGTCATGTTTACCTGAATTACCATAGAGAAATGTTTTACAAATAATGGAAGGAAAAAAATGTCCTGATCAGTAAGCAATAAAGGTTTGCACATAAGTTTAAATAAGGGAATACATTTAGTACCTTAGCAAACAATATTAAACTTGGCTTGATCAAGCTAATAAGTAAAATGCATTTATTTACTCTAATATTCTAAAGGAACAGCATACTCTATGGAAACCATGAAATGTGAATATACGATGTAGCTGGGAGAGAAAAAGCTGCAGGGTGATCTTGTATTTGAGTGCATGAAGGCGTAAAAATATGCGTTTCTGCACCTTGACAGACCAGAATGTCTGCTTAAGTAAAGTTTCAGCAACAGCAAGATCAAATAATCGGAAGAGGAAGGAGACTGTATGCGTGATAGATGTCTGAGTTACTGAGAAAGCAAAGCAAAGGTTTACTACCACTGTATTACCACCAACAGCTGGGTGCACGCCTAATACATTACTAAATTCACGCACATAAGAAAGAATCTTTACTGTGTACAGTTTATCAGCTTTCACACAGCTCCCCTACCATTTGCAGAGGCCTCTTTCGCAGGTCTCTCTCAGTCACCAGTCTCTCCTGGTCGGTGACGTACAGACCGCGTTGAGCTAGCGCCTGGATGACAGCATCGTGACCCAGCAGCGGCTTGGCAGCGTCACTCTTTAGGATAAGGCTGCCGGCCCTGCAGTAGAGGTCTGCAGATAGCAGGAGGCTGGCCACAGGAGGCTTCAGGTGCTCCTGCTCATACTGGTCTGTGTAGAAAGGGTCCTTCAAGTCTGCTGGGATGCTGTCTGCGTGATAGAGCAGAGGAAGCAGAATCAGCTGACAAGCAGAGCTTAATAGCAACATGGCGCCAAATCATTTAAATAACAATTTATGAATCAATTCATATTAGACATTAAAATGCTGGCAAACATCAGCATGTTTCTAAATTGCTTGCCTTGCCACATCATTGAGGATCATATACGAGAAGGTAAACAAGTATATAATTAAAAGCGCTGATGTAAACAGAGGAAAACAGCTGAAAGCATTCTGGAGCATTCGTTTTCTACCTTTCTAATGAATAGTCATTTAAATTTTCTAATACGATTAAAAAAAAATAGGATAAACTCAGATGAGCTAATATCAAGTTTGGGCCGTGTTATTCTAAATCTGTCTTCACTGAGGATTTTTCCCTCTGTGGACAGATTGTCTAGCAATACTTTGGCACAACTACTTGTTTTCGTTGCCATGCTTTGACAATAACATCACATGGATATGTGTGGATAGACCTTGGCGTTGCTATAGCAACTGCAGGATGAGCGGTAACCTGATCGATTCATCGAGTGTGTATCTCTGCAGCTTCCAGCTCCCTGGGAACACCCTTCTCACTGCCTGCCTCATCAAAGAGAAAGGCTGCACGTGAGCGTGTGTGCATGTGTGTTCATTACCTCAGGCAAGTCCACTGCACGGGGGATAGCGTACAAATAATTTGAGCAATTCTGGCCCACACCTTTCTATCAAGTGTTTTCACAAATCCACGTCTGGGAACATAAAGTATGTTATGCACAGTTGTTAGTAAAGCTACTGCAAACCCTTCTTTCCCTGGTGCAGATTAAGGAAGCCATGATTAAGCGTTTTCAAATGAGACTATTTGAAAACATTAAATTATGTCTGCAAGCAAAACAGACGCAGGGCTCGTCCCTGTCTCCTTGGCACGGAGAATGGATCTTAATTAGGATAAAAGCCTGTGTGTGTGTGTGCGAGTGGTGATCCACACACTGACAGCTTTATGCTGCCCATCCTCCAGCACATGCACACGGAGGTCAATGAATCACCTGCTTTGACTGACCGCTATCAGCAAGGTCATCTGTACACAGTGTTAGTACAGCAGAGAATCGCAGGCAGAAGTAGCAACTATCCAGGTTACAGGGTTTCCTGTCAGCACTATATTCATATTAAGGATCCTAACAAACAACAAAAAATACACTGTCTTTATATTAACCCCCCGCACCGCCTTCATCATCCACAGGGAGAGGTCAGAGGTCAGGCTGAGCTCACGGAACACCACCTCTGGAGCTGCTTAGGAGACGATTTTTTATGTTATCTTTCAACATTTTGTGTCCTGGTTTATATTCTGTAATGCTCCTAATCGTTTTAAGGGCAAAGAAAACGTTGAGCATGAAGAAGTCGGTTTTATCTTTTAATATTTCATTAGCTTGGTAGTATTTGAGCTTTTACTCATGCAGACTCACAATCTTCCATTCAGTCATTGTTACAACTTAATACTTTAAACAAGGACATCCGGAAAAACGTCTTGTTAAGTGAATACAGAGGGAATTACACTCATTGTCTGTCAGCCTCAGGTTTTTACCTGGTATTAAATGGCGCTGCTGTTCTGAGTTCTGAATCAGGACACTGTAAATGTTGGGGGATAGCATTTGACAGCGACTCCTGACAGCAGATGATCTGCTGTACAGCTCACATCTCGCATGTACTCGACTGCATATTCTTGATGTACTCTCGCCTCAATCTAATGAGGCGGATGCATGTAAAGCTTTCACAGCAGCGTAGGCTGGGATCTGGAGATGATTTCGCTCCCTTTCTCTTTCTTGCCCTTCCCCTCCCTCTCTGGGGGGCTGTATTTTTGGAATCAGCCCATTTCATTCAGTTCTGACTGAAAATACACAAGAGAATCAGCAAGGGATCTCATGTTTGCTGAGATATAAGCAACACAGAAACAAGGAATGACGCTCTCAAATAAACTGAGACGATGTGTATGAATCAGAAATATAATACAATAACAACAAAAAAAGAGATAAAGATGAACGAGTTGATAAAATGGGAAAAGGATAGCACAGAAGGATCTTGCACTGCATTTATTAAGACACATTTGCAGTTACTGCTTGGATCCTTTTTATAAAATTGAAAAAACACCTTTTCCCGCTGTTGTTCATTTTACCTCGTGCATCCAAAAAAGATGTGGATACTCCACCAAAACAGACGTTTGTGCTGTAGTTTTCTATTATAGATGCTCAAATGGGAGCCACATAATCACACTGATTTGCCACTTTATTATCACTGCATTGCTGGATATGCATCCATGCATCCCCTAAATCAGTTATAGTATTTAATGCTAATTCCACTGAAACTGTGGGATTACATCCACTTCGTTAGGTGTCACAGGATGTCAGGCCATACTTACTTTGCAGGCTATTTACTTTGCAGTTCTGACATGGATGCAGCACCCTGGAGGTGACATCATTTGAAACAGGTACTTTGATATCTCTATAAGTATTCTCCATTAAATACCCCCCACCCACCCCATTGATTAGGGACCACAGGAAGTGGTTTTTTTTTTTTTTACCTTTCTTTCGTTTGGTATAACACGTATTGCTTTCCTCATAAGAAATGACTGCAAACGATGGTAGTTTCCATGTGAACCAGCCCATATGGGAATTGACTGATAATAAATCATAAATCTCCATTACACATTTGTTGCTTTGAGTTTATTTGGATTCTGACAAGCATGCATTAAAAACAAACAATCAAAAGAAAAGCATTAAAATCATAAACAGACTCGTGCTGCGTCCGGTTAACTGTTGCAGTCGGTGCGGTGATGAACCTACCTGTCCCGTATGCTTTGGCCACCAACCATGTGAGGCTGCAACACATTTTGGCTCGGGAAAAGTCATAGTGCTCAAAAGACTTTATTGCAGGAGCAACGAACGTCTTCTTAACATCCCTGACGTCCTGAACTTCACCCATATTTCACCCCTTGATTGTTCCCTCAAACCCTACGAAGCGAAAGCATCCCGGTACTGGAATGTGGTGGAAAACTATAAACAGCTGGAAACTGAAGAGATGGTCTGTCTTTCCGCAGATTATTCACAGATATGCATGTCCTTCCAGTAATAAAATACTCTTGGGGCTAGGTTTGTTTTGTTTTTTTCGGTCTCGTTCACACAATAGGTAGCTACTCCTGGTGTTTTTCATCCATTCTGTTTTCTACCAGTTGAAAGGCTCTCCGTCTGAACAAGCTAGGTTTCCTTGAAAATCAGAGAGGAGGGAAAAATGCTCGTCGACTGGAATGAAAACAACAATATTTCCATTATTTGAGTTGTTTGGCAGCAGACGGCTTCTTCCTTTCATGGCCATGTGTCATTGTATGAATAACCTGTGTGTTTTGCATTCGGTCCTCTATTCGGTGCCGTGATGCGGATTCCTGCCGCACTGAGGCTTTCTCTAGCTCTGCACGTTTTGTTGTCCAACGCGCATGTGTGAACGGTGCTTTCAAACTCCACTGGGAATTTTAACACTTTTATCTTAATTCTTTGGAATCAACCGCCCACAAACATATTGTACCGCAATATAGTCGGTAAAACGGCATTAACTTGCTACACTGCAAAATGTCCAACCCGGATTCGTTTAATGGGCTGCATTTTTATTACTTTTACTCATACTCTGTTACCCTGAACGCACCCTTAACGTAAAATATGACATATTTAAAAAAATGAAATGAATAAGAAGAGGTCAGTATACAAAGATACACATTTTTAAAACGTCATGTTTTAAATACAATTTTGCTAAAGACAGCGATGTAAATAACAGGGGGGGGAAAGCGACTCAGCTCTACGAACTACAATTCCCAACGTGCAAAGGAAGTAATGTTGCGGCATCAGTGTGCGTCGGGAACTGTTCGCGACTGTCGGAGGATTTGACGCGAAGAGGTAATGTTGTTTTTGTAAGTAACAACCAAATGGTGGCTCAGAAGTGTAATTTCAAAATACTCAAAAACTTGGTTTCTTCGCAGCAGGAGTTATTTAAAACTTTTATTTGGAAAAAGTCAATTTGGCCCTTTTAAAAAAAGTGAGCTATGGAGGTTCTTCATACTCAATTTATTTGCAGCTGCTGCCATTACATGTCACCTAAATCTTTTGGCGTAACTGAGCGTTTACATCTGCTTTGTTGTGGTTACAGGTAGTATTTAAACATGTTTCTGCCACGAGCCCTGAAGGTGAAGAGACCTGCCGAGGGATCGGCTCAAGTTGTGGTTAAGAAAAGCAAAGTTGTTCAAGAGGAGGATAGCAAAAGTAGCTCCGAGACACCTGCTCAGAGCGAGGAAGCATGTGAAGACACCCAAACACGAGATGCGACAACACACGCAGCTGCAGAGAGCTTAGCGCCCGAAGATGGACACAGCTCCCTCTCAGATGATGGTGATGATGATGATGATGAGGAGGAGGAGGAGGAGGAACCAGTGAAATCATTTAAAAAGAACCAGAGATGGCCTGGGCCAGGAGAACCTGTCTGTGTGATGTGTGGTCGCTATGGAGAGTACATCTGTGATGCTACAGATAATGATGTTTGCAGTCTGGAATGCAAAGCCAGCCATTTAGTGCAAATGGGCATGGGGACTGGGGCAGATGCATTTATGCAAAAGGACCAAAATAGACATGAAAGGACTGTTCAAAGTCAACAGCCAGCTGCTGACCCTGGTAGGGTGGTTGAAAGTGAACCAGGCTACTCCTACAGGGAAGATCGGTTCATATCAGGCCTAACAGAGGAGCAAGTGCAACGAATTAAACAGGAGCTGGGCATAGAAACCCAGGGGAGAGATGTCGCAAGACCTGTTGTTGAATTTGAGCACTGCAGCTTCCCTCCCACATTAAGCGGTAACCTGAAAAAGGCGGGGTATGACACACCTACCCCAGTCCAGATGCAGATGGTCCCTGTTGGCCTCACAGGCAGGGATGTGATTGCGAGCGCTGACACAGGATCAGGGAAGACTGTAGCCTTTCTGCTGCCAGTGGTCGTGAGGGCACTCGAGGTACAGTATTGAAGCTAATATGTCACATGCAAATGCCATCAAGTTAAATTATATTTGAGGAGGCAGACATTTCTACAGCCTGGATAAATAGCACCACAGCCCAGATCTAAATATGTAAATCTGGACTGAATCTGCTTTTGTATCAAGCATTTGCCCTCCTGAGCTACCCCTTAGGAAGACACTAGACTCCAGTATCTGACAGAAAAGCTGCTCCGTAGCTGCCAGTGACCTCTGCAGATAAAAAGAGTCGAATCGAATAAATGTATTCTCAAAAAGACACAAACAATTTTACATTTAAAAATTCACAAATGCTCTCTTGGTGACATGCAGTGTGCAACATTGCTTCTGCTTTCAGAAATCAGCACACAGTGTGGGCAGCCCTGTGGCTTTGATCCTGACCCCCACCAGGGAGTTGGCCATTCAGATAGAGAGACAGGCCAAGGAGCTTGTGATGGGACTCCCCAATATGAGAACTGCCCTGCTGGTCGGAGGCATGCCGCTTCCCCCACAGCTCCACCGCCTGAAGAGCAGCATCAAAGTACAGTCTCCGTTTTGTTTTGTTTTTCTTAAACAATAATTTCCTCCTGCTGCAGTCAAAGCTTGAGGCTGTACATTTGTCCCATGCCATGGTTTTGTTCATTTCTCAATCTCCTTTAGATTGTCATCGCTACTCCTGGGCGGCTCATTGAAATCTTGAAGCAGAAAGAGCTGAAGCTTGACAAAGTGAAGATTGTGGTGGTTGACGAGGTAGGACAAACATATTGAAATTCACAATTGACAAAAACTGTGCACTTTAAGACAAAGTAATTCAGTTCAATTCAATTTATATAGCTTTAAGGATTAGTAATGTAAAAGTTGTGTCTTTTAGAACAAACAACATAATGACAGCTTTTGAAAGTATTCATCATTCAAATCAGTTTTGAGAGTCCTGCAACATGAAAGTTGTGCTGCATCCTGTAGGTGGACACTATGTTGAAGATGGGCTTCCAGCAGCAGGTTCTGGAGGTTCTTGAGCAAGTCCCAGAAGAACATCAGACTCTTCTGGCGTCGGCCACCATCCCCACCGGGACGGAGGAGCTGGCTGCCCGGTTGGTCCGTGACCCTGTACGTATCACTATTGGGGAGAAGAACCAGCCGTGCGCCAACGTCCGACAGATCCTGCTTTGGGTAGAGGAACCTTCCAAAAAGAAGAAGCTGTTTGAGATTCTCAACGTAGGTCATAGATGAGATGCTTTTCAATCTTAACTTTGAGTTTTTAGATTAAAAATCATGAAGTCTTAAAAGGTTTATTATAAGTGGAGTATTTCTGGACACACCTCCACTGCCAGCATATGGTTTCTTTTACTGGTCAGTAGATATTTTTAGTTTTTGAATTCAAAAAAGGTCTAATTGGTCATTGCACTCAAAGAAAGTACTTTAGAAGAAAAACACAAAGTTTTTCATTAGATCAGTTTTAGGTTACAGTTCATTTACTGCTCAGTCTTGACACGCACTGATACCAGCTTGGTATTTTAACAGCTGGCTATTGTTGGTGGGAATATTATAAAGTCCAATAAAGAACCAGCCTCCCCTTCTGCCATATTTAGACTGCCACTGTGGACACTCTGGCCTCTATCTGAAGGAAACGGGTGGGCACAGAGCCACGGCACCACTCCAGGAATCCCAGCAATAGTTTACACTGTTTATATAAAACAGAAATGGTCGACTTTAATTAACTTTAAGTAGAAAAGTGCTCTTAGGTCGTAGTTTGAGTAACATAAGACTCTTTTCTTATAACTCAGTAACTCATAGTGTAAAGCTATTGTCTCACGAGTGGTGAGTGAATTGTGGAATTGCAGAGGTACAAAACTGGGATTTGGACAAGACACAACAAGAAAACCAACTATCTGGAGTGGACATGACTCAAAAACTAATCAAAGCAGTTGCTTCATATATTGCAGGTCTTACAGCATAGTGCATAATAGTTGGCTCAAGATTACAGAATGTTCTCCTAAAGAACAGTGAAATTAAGAAGGTATGATTGGGAGTATGCATTTCTTCCTTCCTGTCTTGTCAAGTTACAGTTACCTGTTGGAGTGCTGGAACGTATCCAGATATGTAGATGCCTCTACAGGCACATAGTATACATAATGTATTAGTTGTATAGCTTTTTTGGCAATATTTTTGTATAGAAAATATGTAAAATGTTAAAAAAAAAAAAAATTATTTTGTCACTTTTCAGGATGGTAAGCTGTACCAGCCTCCAGTGGTAGTGTTTGTAGAGAGTAAACTCGGCGCCGATCTGCTCTGCGAGGCAGTCGCCAAGGTGACGGGCCTCACTGCCGTGGCAATCCACTCTGACAAGAGCCAGTGGGAGCGCAACCGCATCCTCCGGGTGAGACCAGTGGGAAAACATGCACAGGGAAGAAAAACCAAACAATGCTTCCATGTTTGGTGTCCTAAAGTGTTTATCTTCAACAGCACAGACAGATACCCACAGCTGAGGCGTTCCCCAGGGATCCAGCTTTAGTCTGCATGTCCAATGCAAAGAGACACAATGCAGAAAAAAACACTGTTTTTCCATTTACGTGCTTTTCTTCTTAAATACTGACAATTTTTTTCTTTTCCAAGATCACAACTTCTATAGGTGAACAGGTGACTAAAGAGGTGTGACTTTATTGAAACAGTTAGACAAGGCCTGAAATAATCCAGAATAAATCTAAATTATTAGGAGTCAAAATGATTTATAATCCCAGAGTCCCACTTTTAGAGTATGTAATTTTACTGGCTGATTGTATCAGACATAAATATGCTGAATTATTTTATGGACACCTTGCTTTGTTATCTGCTGTGTGTAAAATATAATTATGGGAACAACATGCTAATAAAAACAGGCTTGCCAGTAAATGCAGTTCATTATTAATGTCTGCTGTATGTGGTACATACAGACTTCTAATTGTGGTTTTCTCTTCAGGGTCTTCTGGATGGTGACTTTGAGGTAGTGATCAGTACAGGTGTTCTGGGCAGAGGGCTGGACCTGGTCAATGTCAGACTGGTGGTTAACTTTGATATGCCAAACACAATGGATGAGTATGTCCACCAGGTTAGTCAGCACTGCTTAGTATCACTTTGATGTAGTTTCATTAGGAAAACCTTTCAATTACAACAGCTAATCTAATATTACCTTTTTTCCCCATCTAGGTGGGAAGAGCAGGTCGGCTTGGACACAGAGGAACAGCCATCACTCTTCTCAACAACAACAACAAACGGCTGTTCCTGGAGGTGGTGAGTCGAGTCAAACCCACTGGCTCCATTTTGCCCCCTCAGCTCTTAAACTCACCGCACCTCCATGAACAGCAAAGGAGAGAAAAGCAGAGAAACAAGAAGGACCACGAGGATTCACTGGTTACCACAAATAACCTCCTGGACATCATAAAGAAACATGACCGTCGCAAGAAGTAGCAACTTCTTCCAATCTTTCATGGAATGGTGCTTATTTATTGAGTAACCTGTAAATGTTTAGTTTGTATATTTCATTTATAAATAAATACATGTGTTTTCTGTATCTGTTTTTTTTAGATCTGTGTTTTGTATGATTAATGCAAAGTGACTTAATCAAAAAGCTCCACACAATCTTCCACATTTTTCCGGGCTTGGAACTGGCACTAGTGGCACACGGTGATAGAGGAGTATGAAAGGGGCACTGAAAGAAGAATAAGAATCCTCATTAATCCAGACTTGAACTAAGGTCCAGATGCTTTTGAGCAAGGCACTGAACGCACCCTGCCATTTGTACAAACTTTAATCAGTCTGATTTTATTCTCATATATTATTCCAACTAAAAGGTAAGTTTTTCTCAAAGTTTCTCTGGAGGTTTTATTTATATCTCACTGTCTTCCGCAGTAGATGTTAGGGAGTTTGAGACATTTCGTTTATTTTAACGGTAAAGGACTAAATTTAGATGGGAGCTTATGACTAGCACATTTTTTCCACACGTACGCAATCTCAGAGATGACTATCGTTCACAGTTTACTTATTGTGGCTCGGTATTGTGCTGCCATCTAGCGGTATCATAAAGTGCCTACAGGTCGCGACCATGACGTGACGTAACACTTTCAGAGAATCCAGCCAATCAGCTGCCAGTGACGGTGACGATTTGAAATTGAAGCGGGTAGAGGCGGAAGCGAGCAGGAGAACATAAACAAAAGAAGTCTTTTTTCGCAAGTGCAAGTAATAATTTATTCGAATGGATTTTTATTTTCCTTTAACTAACATATGGAGTCATACTTACGTCCAATTTACGTGGTTTTTAAATGTAGTTGTTCGTGTAAAGTGCATCTGCCGTTAACTCGCCTGTCTCGTAATTACACCGTTTAGGTTTCTAACAGTCCACAGCCATGTCGATATTTAGCGTACAAGGGCGGAAACACACCGCTTATTACGACAATCTGCTGTCAACATCAACGTCCAGGACACCCGGCCGAGAGCGAAAGATAGCCGACACGACGCTGGGCAAAAGTGTGACCGCATCAGGGGAGTCTGCATGTGAAGACAGCAGGTCATCAGATAAAAGCCGTCCGGTGAACAGGACGTATGTCGTCTCTGCCCTGTCAAAGAGTGGCAGCGGGCAGCAGACCCCTTACCAAGCCCGGCTCACCCTACAAAGACGGTCAAAGAGGAAGACCGGGGCCGAAACGGCTGAACAAACGATGACAGACAGCAGCCAAAACACCACAGCAGCTCCGGAGAAGAGACTGACTCTGCAGCGCAGGACCAGGACTCCCTCCATGGACAAGAGCGGACGTGGGCAGCCTGGTGGCCTGCAGTCAACGCCCAAAGTTCTCGGTGAACCAAACGGGAGGACACCTGGTTTATTCAGGTCAATGAGCTTAAGAGAAACTGCGACTCATGTGCAAACACAAGGGAGGTTTGCGCAGAACAAAACCTCCTCCTCCTCTTCTTCATCTTCAAGTAGAAACACAGACGAGACCCATACCTTTAAAACGCCGACCAGAAAGACCCCGTTTGAGAGAATCGCTGCCAAACGAGACGTGTTTGAGAGACTGGCAGGGAAAGAAGCTCCCAAGCCAGTGTTGGTCAAATCTGCCAGTCTGGAAAGGCCCAAACCCCGAGCACAGCAAGCCGAAAACACTAAACCCTTCCCGGCTCCTCGGATCAGCAAGACGACCTCAGGTGTGCGAAGACCTGACATGACGCTGCAGGTGATAAAGACAAAGACCTCGAACCAAAAGGGAGACGTGACCCAGGTCAGGACATCCGATCCTGCTCCTCCTGAACAGATCCTGCCCAGTACCAGTGAGGGTCTGAAGCAGCAGGACTTACTAAAAATGGAAAACAGTGCTGTTACGGTGGCTGTGCGTGTCCGCCCCTTCAGTGCCAGGTTAGTGTTTAACTGCTGGGTGACTGAGAAGCAGGCCCCCCTGTCAGTATATTAAAGTCTGGTTCTGGAAAATCTGTGTATAAAACACTGGCATGCTACTTGTTTAAAGAAAGACAAACAACACATCTCTGAAGTTTTTTGTTCTGCTCTATTACAGGGAGAAAGCTGAGAAGTCCTCACAGGTCATCTTCATGAATGGCCAGGAGACTGTGGTCCAGCATCCAGAGTCCAAACAGAGCTACTCCTTCACCTACGACTTCTCTTTCTGCTCAGTGGATGCCAGTGACTCCAACTTTGCCTGCCAGCAGACCGTGTATGAGACGCTGGCCAAACCTCTGCTGCTGAGGGCCTTTGAAGGATTTAACACCTGCTTGTTTGCCTATGGCCAGACAGGTTCTGGTAAATCATACACGTGAGTGGACTCACTTTTCATTTACATCAGTGTTCTCACTTATGTGGTCATGTGTTTTGTTTTGTTTTTTACTTTTGTACTGTAATCTGTCACTTTGATGTGTTAAGACTGATTGTTTTGCAGGATGATGGGTTTTGAGGAGGAGGTAGGGGTGATCCCAAAATTCTGCCACGAGCTTTTTTCTAAACTGGCCTCAATAAAAAGTGAAGAGGTAAGCTCTCTCTTTGTTTTTTTACATTTCTATTCCAATTTCATTTTTATCTGAAAAAGAATTAAATGATCTGTTTTGGGTCCCTTTTGAATCTCAGGTCAAATGTCATGTAGAGATGAGCTACTTTGAAGTGTACAATGAGAAGATCCATGACCTGCTGGTGACCAGAGAAGAACCAAACCAGAGGACGATGCCTGTGAGTAGTTTGCTGTTTAGTGACACTCATCCCTGCCACATGTTTTTATTGCTAACTTGCCACTGTGGTTGACTTACCACGGGGGGGGGAAATGTAGAAAACCTTTGTTTGGATTTGTTTTCCAGCTGAGGGTGAGAGAGCATCCGGTCCACGGGCCTTATGTCGCTGAGCTCTCCGCGTAAGAAAATCTCGTCTTTCTCTCTTTATTCGCTGAAAGCTTGAACATTCTTGGATGGTACCTTTTTCAGAATTGCTCAGCTTGCTGTTTCTTCACAGGAATGTGGTGCGCTCTTACAATGATGTTCAGGTAAGATGAACCAGTTGTCTTTTTATTAGTGGGTGCTTTCAAGAACAAGCTAGGTCTTCAGTGTCAAGCAGACAAAAAGCCTGTTAACCGAATCTGAAAGGCTTGTCATGGAAATGAATATCTTCAAGTGAGATTTCACACAGAGAATCAATAATAATTTAAAGTACTTTTTTCTTCTTCTTTAGGGCTGGCTGGAGCTCGGCAATAAGCAGAGAGCCACAGCGGCCACAGGAATGAATGACAAGAGCTCCAGATCTCACTCTGTCTTCACCTTGGTCATGACCCAGACTAAGGTACTGTCTTCACTGTGTATTTACACCTCTTTTCCCTCTTTGAGTTTTATGTAAAAAAATACGTTAGCACGGGGGAGCGGATGAATCGTGCTTACATTAAGTGCCTGTGAGTCCATTTGTGTTTGTGTGTGCAGACTGAGCTTGTGGAAGGCGAGGAACATGATCACAGTATCACCAGCAGGATCAACTTGATCGATCTGGCAGGCAGCGAACGCTGCCACTCTGCCCAGACCAGTGGAGACCGACTCAGGGTGAGCACATGTTAACTACCATCTGTGGTTAAGTCATTAAGCAGTTAATCATTGCTTGTTGGAAATTGGAGTTGGAGACTTTTAGGTGAACCACGCTATATAATTTTATCATTCACAAATCAGAGTACAGTCTCTTGTCTCAGAAGGCTCTGGTTTCTTTGCATTGTTGGCCTGTTCATTAATTTTTCTATGCTTATTTTATTCAAAACGATGTCTTTATAGGAGGGCGTCAGCATCAACAAATCACTGCTGACGCTCGGAAAGGTCATCTCTGCCTTATCAGAACAAGCGCTGACCAAGAAGAAAGTCTTCATACCGTACAGAGACTCTGTCCTTACATGGTGAGGGAACAGTGTGCTTGTGCACAATTTCTTTATTTGTTTGTTTGTCAGCAATCACAGTGACGGTTCTCCTCTAATTGTCACCTGCAGGCTGTTGAAGGAGAGCCTCGGCGGTAACTCTAAGACGGCCATGATCGCTACGCTGAGCCCGGCGGGCAGCAACGTGGAGGAGAGCCTGAGCACTCTACGCTATGCCCAGCAAGCCCGCACAATCATAAATGTGGCCAAGGTCAATGAGGACACCAATGCCAAGCTCATCAGAGGTCAGACATCCATAACGTGCTTAAAAATTTGTATACTGTAGACAAAAGGTATCTATTTATAAGCCTTTTGTCTAAAGCAGGGTTTCAGGCACACTTACTGTGTTGGTTTGACATGTGAGCCTGGACAAATCCTTGGTCACCTTATAAACTAAAAAAAGAGAGGAAGGGGAAATCATTTTTATATGAGAGATTCTTTTTCCTTTTTTCCCCTGTAGTTCTTTGTAAACCTGAACATCTGCCTTTCAGCACACAAAGCCACACCTGTATTTCCTTTTTTACAACCAAAACCACAGAGTAGCTTCACAGGTGTAGTCAGTATTTTTGGACTGTAAGAACTCTCTCTCTCACACACATATAAATATTTTCATGTCTGTCCTTCAGCTCCTCCTTCATCAGCCTTTTTCCTCTCTCTCTTTTGTTCATCCCTGTGTTTTTCTTTATATGTGAACGTGTTCCTGTTAGGCACTCGCTCCCGATCGCTTTCGCTCTCCTCCTTTACCACTCACCCTCCCGTCTGTCGGTCCGTTTATCCATCACCAGCTCTTGCGCTATCCAGTTGAAATTAAAGCCTGGCCCTAACCTTGCCTCCAGGCCATATTTATGCACTGTCAGTTGCACATGGCGGCTAACTGTCATGCAAGTATTATTTTTCATAAGATGATAGCGCTGCTGTTTGACGTTTTTAGCACTAAGGGGAGCTCTTGCTGTGGATTTCATTCACAATGCCTGTCAGCGGGAGACGCTCAAAGTGAATGTGACTCAGACAGACAAACCAGTCAACTTCAGTGAGGGACAGTATCGAGCAGTTCGCTGACCAAATCTGAATATTCCTCTCTAAAGTGGCATCGTATCTGCACATTTACATAATCTTGCTGCAACAGT